ATTTCGACCAACATGTTTAACTATTTTTACAAGTGGAATTCCCTATGAAATAATTCTAATTTATAAACAAAACAATGAAATTCCAATTCATCCATTTGTCCAATGAAGACCTACTTTTGTGCCAATCAAACATGTTCAAATCACTGTAGACTTAACAGTATAACAAAAGAAAAAAGACAAAACAAGCAAACCAACAAACAAAAAAGTCCACTTTCCTGCCATTTAGCAGTGAAATGGTTTGTTTACCAGAACTCATAAGATCATTGTTTTTCTAAAAAAAAATCTCTTTAAGTGTAGAGGACTAGTTGTTTTAATGTATTATCACCAAAGTTAGTTATGTTTACTGGACTTTTGAATTTAATGGTCATTTTTTTTCTCTTTTGTCACTTATGCCAAACAATATCTTTTGAAAAAATTTTTTCACTGAATTTTTGCGTATCTCATGCACAACATTTTAACCATCTTTATCCCCGTTCCCCATCAGCCCCCGCCCATAGCACCCTCCCCATTGAATTTCATGAATTTTGACATTTACATTAAGGCTTATGAAGTCAAGTTGGTATCCCTTGATGTCCAAACAATATCTTTCCACGCTAGTTTAGTAAGACAGTAGTTTTCATGGGAGAGTCAAAATTATTATCAACTCAATAAACAGTCACAAATATTTGTTATTGTAATACAAAATTTTTGAGGTAGAAATTATACTTTAAAATACATTGTTACCTTTTAAAAATTTCAACAAATCTGAATAATTGAAAGGATATAAAATTGACTATAAATCATGTGACTGAAAAAGGGGCACTCTATAATTCATGATATTGTTTAGCTGTGTTTGGTGCAGGTAAAAGAGCTGATGTTTTTAAGTCAGGTGTCTTTTCTTGTTAGGAATGCTAACTCACCTCTGACAAAGCTTTTGCATTGATTGACAAAAAACTTAATAAGAAAATCAATCTTAAGATCATGACTTCTTTATTTTAGATTTTTTTGCCCACCTTTTTTGAAGTAGAAAGTGTTGGGATAAAATAATCTCCTGGAAGATGTTCTTTCCAGATCTGTATCTTGACTGCTAAATATATTTCGGATTAAAGTACTACAGAGGATTGCTAACAGTGGAGGAGACCCTTCCTGCCAGTCTGTGTAGCTCTTGCTAGCCTCCAGTCCCTATGGAGATTGCAGTGCCCTGTTGGAGAGTGCTGGTTGCTCAGGGTGGGGTCACTGCCCCAGCCTTTCAGCCAGAATTTTGATTCTGCAGAAGCCTTCAAGGCCTGCTGGCTTGATAGCAAAGGAGAGAGATTGCTGGGACTTAGATACTTCCTGCCATGTTTTCTTTCTGTGCACCAATGAATTTCAAGTGGCTTACAAGGGGCACCTGAAACAAAAAAAATTCTGCCCTCCTTTCCTAGCCTTTAGTGCCAGTGCCCTCCCTGACTGCCAAGAAGTGTGTGGCATCTCACTTAGATCCTCTGGTACTGTGGTTTCTCCCGTTTTACACACAAAGAAATGAAACGTTGGAAAGGAAACACAACTTATTTAAAATACTCTCAGGGCTGGAGAGATGGCTCAGTGGTTAAAAGCACTGCTGGTCTTGCAGAGGACCTGGGTTCGGTTCCCAGACCCCCTCTTCTGACCTCTGCAGACATTGTATGACTCAGGTGCACTTAGATACATGCAGGCAATACACTCATAAAAGAAATAAATAAAATAAAATGCATAAAATATTCTTTTGTTAGTAAAGAGGACTACGTAGGAATTCTGAAACAGGGCTCCATTGCCTCTGATATACTTTGCTAGGCCACAGATATAACAACATGAAAAGACTGGAAATCTAGACATTTTGGTGGTGTTCTCTCAGTAATATGCAATTGTTTTATTTTTCTAATTCACCATATCTCTCAATAGTCCACAAGAGAGACATCCAATGCTCGGGACCTAGTGCAAGGCTACCTGCCTGGGAGGGAGTGCACCTTGATACAGAAAAGAAAAGAAGCAATGAGAAAGCCTGTAGTGTGTTTACTAGTGCTGTACTCAGGAGGGTGCGGCGGGGTGGGGGGAGGGAGTTTAAGGCAACTCTGGGCACAATAGAGAGACCCTATCTTAAAAAAACAAGAAAGTTCGATCTCAACAGTTCTCTAGTTAATGTTATCGGCTGAATTGTATCATTTCTACCAAATTCTTATGCTGACTTTCTAATCCCTAGCAACTCAACAAGTCCTGGTATTTAGACACAAAGCCCTTGAAAAAGCAAATATGGTAAAATGAGGTCACATGAGTAGCCTATGCTGGTGTGGCCAGAGTCTTTATGAGATTAGGACACAGATACACAGAGGAAGACCAGGCAAAGACAGAGAAGACAGCCATCTGCAAGTCAAAGAGCCCTCCAGAAGGAAACAACCCTGCCAGCCTCTTGAACTTGTATTTCTAGCCTCCAGAAATGTTCAAAAATAAATTTCTGTTGTTGAAAGCACTCAGTCTGTGGTACGCGGCCTTAGTAAACTAGGAGAACTAATTGTTACTAACTACAATTAAGAGCTCTCTTGGTGATTCAAAAGTTCCCCTCAAAAATAAGAAATTTGTGCTGGAGAGATGGCTCAGCAGTTTAGAGCACTAGCTGCTCTTGCAGAGGACCCAGGTGCAGTTCCCAGCACCCACATGACAACTAACAACTGTCCTTAAGTCCAGTTCCAGGGGAATTTTGTGCTGTCTTCTGACCTCCACAGGTCTTGCATGACAGAGATGCACCTATATACATGTAGGCAATACACTCATACACATAAAAAGAATAAATAAAAAAATTTTTAAAGAAATTTCGGGACTGGAGTGATGGCTCAGTGGTTAAGAGCACACACTGCCCTTGCAGAGGACCTGAGTTCAGATCCCAGCACCCATGGTAGGCAGATCACAACTGCCTGTAGCTCCAGTTACAGGGTGATCCAATGTCTCTGACCTCTATGGGCACCATACTCACATGTACATACCCACACAAAGACATACACAAGTATACATATTTTAAAATGATAAAAATAAATCTTAAAGAATAAGAAATCTCCAAAACGTTGTTACAAGCCCGTAATTTGTCAGGCTAAAGCAGGAAGTTCATAAGTTTGAGGCCTATACAGAGCAAGTTCAAGGCTAACCTGGGCATCTTAGAAAGACCTTCTTTATAAATGGAAAGTAAGGCTGAAGACAGTTCAGTGACCAAGTGCTTGCCTATTATCAGGGAAGATCCAGGGTTCAACCCTCAGGACTACAAATAAATAAACATCCGAAACCTAGGGCAGCAAACCACAGGTAAAAGCTAATAAGGATCAATTCAATTCATTTCACAAATAATTAGAATCTTATTCTCCAAATGGAATTTCACTGAGACCGTGAGTGCAGGGCCTGGCGCGTCATTATGTTTAGCTTGGCTGTGCTTATGGTAGCAGTATTTCATATGAAAGCAAATTGGGGCAGTTTTCTGGATTGTTTTCACAGAGGTATCTCAACACTTCTGTGGATAGAGTAAACCTCTGCAAATTCCTACTAAATTCATTGTGAATGGGTAAATAGAAATGATGTCAGTGCCTAATGTTAAAATCAGAGGAAATATGTGTATGGTTAATGGAAAACTGAATCTCGAAGGAAGAGAAAAACTGAAGAGTGAATTAAATATTATTCAAAAGTATTCAAAGGAATTATCTACTGCAAATATCCCTTTTGCTTTCAATTAGCTCAGAACTTTTAAGGTGCATGCATGATACTCTGAGGGAAAGTAGAATCAGATGTTGACCCTGATCTCAAATATTTCTTGATAAGATGTAAGGAAAAAAACACAGACACAAGTAACCATAACTTCATGTAGACTTTGATAGAATCTATAATGTAAAATTTAATAGGCTCACAGAAGACAGAGAAGATAACTCTGACTAGGGGCATTGGAAGAGACCTTTAGTAAGAGTTCCGTTTATAACAGTACTGGTGTTTGACAGGTAGGATTGTACAGGGAGGAACACTCTAGGCAGATAGATTAACACAAGAGAAAAACAGATGTTGTTGACTACAAATCATGTTCAGTGAGAAAGTCGAAGTCTGTCACACTAAGAGTAGATGCATTGAGAAGGTGGGTCATTGACCTTGTACTTGAAGTCAAAGGACCTGGGTTTGAGTTCTGTGTTCACCATTTTCTATATTTATGACCCCAATTTTTCTGAGTCTCAAATTCCTCATCTGTGGAAATCACCTAGCAGAGACGGCTATGCAATACAAATTCAGTAAATGTTAGTTGAATATAAATAGTTCAGACTTGATTCTACAGGAAATAGGGAACCAATACAATTTTGAGCATGCAAATAAGATGCCCACCACTAGACATTTGAAAACTGATCTCTCCAGTACCATATGCTGAATGAATTGGAGTGCATCAATGTGAAAAGAAGGCTCACTTGTTACATTACAATGGCACAGCGGAGGTAGTGCAAGCCTAAAGCAGGGCTGTGCTGGTGATTAGACAGACTGCACTGGAGAACAAATGTCACGGGGTTAATGCAAACTAGGATGTGAAACACTGCTCAGAAAATCAAATCCCAGTTTTGTGACTCTTTTGTCAAGTGATGACATGCCCTCCATGGAACCGCCTCTGTGGTTCCCAGTTTGAACATTTATAAAAAAGGGATTTAAAAATCCTAAGTATTCCTACAATACTTCATGGCTCTTTAAATCAGTGAGACTTGTTACCTGATTAGATAAGAAACTAATGAATATAAAGGAGACAGAGAAATTGAAAACAGCATGAAATGAAAGTTTCACACAGTGATTAATAGATCAATAGATGAGGCATTACTAACAATATGAAGGAGGAGAAGGAACACATTTGGAGGAGAATATGACGAATGATATTTCTGTGTGAAAGGCTGTCGTTCAGTTAAACATGTAATCATATGAGCACTTAATAAATTATTTGTTATACTATATACCATGTGAACATCTGATTTGGATACTAGTATGTGTTCTTTAATTTACAGATTCTTTTCATTGGAGACTCAACCAACAGAGGGATGATGTACTATCTGATTGAAAGGCTGAATGAAACACTTCAGGAGTGGCAGAAGGTGCATGGCACTAAACTGTACCCCAATGTCAATGGTGGGAAGACACTGATCAGTTACTCCTACTATCCCCAGTTCTGGATAAGCCCTTCACTGAGACCAACGTTTGAGAACGCACTTGAACATCTCTTGCAAAGGTACAATAGAACTACTCTGGATGGCAAAATGCCACAGTGTGCAGTCATAATTGCTCACTGTATTTCAAAGGTGCTGAAAAGCTTAGATACTCACTAATGTGGCTGAAAACGAGCTGCAAATGACAAGCAGGTCTTGTGATCAGGAAGCCAGACATGGTTCATTGAAATGTGAAGGAACGCAGCTAAAATGTTTACCATCTGTTCTAAAGTAACGTGTTGTTTTTCTTTCTGGATTTCAGATCACATCCACTAGAGAATACTAGTCAGACTGTATTGGTTGTTGGTGGTGTTCAGTGGCTTAATTCCAATCACCTGCAAATCATTCACAAGGTTTTAAAGAGGTAACTTCCTGCAGCAACAATTGTCATAAATATCTTAATGTTTTCTTTAAAAGTACTATTTATACAACTAAACCTTATCCAATGCTTATCTAAAAGATAGCTTTATAATTTAAAGTTAAAAACTTAAAGACTAATTTTATATTTTAAAATACTTTTAGATTCAATCATGGATCTTTAACATCCTAATTCAAATTTAACTACAAATCAAAACATATCTACTAGCCAGATATGGCAGCACATACCTGTAATTCAAGCATTTGGGAGGCTAATACAAGAAGATAGTGTGTTCAAAGCTAACCTGGAGTACAGAGTGAAACCTTGTTTCAAACTAATTATACAAATATATTGAAAGTAATAACAATGTGTGGCATATATTCATTGTTGTACAAGTGAATCTTTAAATGAAATAGATTAATATAAATTTTTTAAATCCATTGTATGAAATTCTCAAAGAATCAAAATATTAAATAAAACAGATAATAATAATGTCCATTGACACATAAAACTATCTACAATGAAATTTAATATATGACAAATCTATAAAATGGGGATTCAGTTCTGTATACAAATGATCACATTCTAAAAGAATTCTATAATATTTGTTGATATAATTAACAAACATGTAGAAATATAACTGAAATTTGTGACTAGAATTATGATCATTTCATGCAGGGAAAATTTGCTCAATATCCTAGTGATCATCAAAACTTTGGGGATTGGATTTCATCTGCCTGTGGATGGAGTGCATTTCTTAACACAGGTAAACCTATTTCTTCTAGGCTACATGAATTTATGAATGCCTGCTGGAAAATAATCCAAAAAGCATTCCACAATACTCATCAACCTTCATAAAAATAAAATATATATATACTTATGAATTATGATTTCAAGCCATTCTAAATGTTCCTGCAGACCAGGAGACCATAGCCAAATAAATGTGCCATAAATAATACACTGAGTTCAAGATAAATGAAAAGGAGTTCAAGCTATGTGAAACAGCAACAGAAGTATATGAGAGAGATTGCGTATTACCTTCCTTGCCCCACCAGCATTTCATACACCTTTATGGGTTATACCGAGAGACTATCCCTTCTTCAGATTAATGCAAAAAGCACAAATGAAACTATCAATATCAATTAGTCCTTTGGGAAACAATGATCTTTTTGAAGATGATCTCCTAATACACACAAACACACACACACACACACACATAAAGTGATATCATTGTTTTTGCTCTAGTTTGATATTCATAAATGAAAGGCATTAGGGTCCTCTGGCCAGCCCTTAAAGATAGTAAATATGCCTCAGTACTGAGTAGAAAAATTAGAGCAGAACAGGAAGAAATCTGTAGGTCAGAACCGGCTGTTCTATTTCAAGCAAGGAGTGGCCTGAGATTATGTACAAAGACAGAGTCATGGTTAAGGAGCACACTGTTCATTTAAGGAGTTTAAGATTTATTTTTCTGTCTGTGTTGAGCCCTCCTAGGTTTTCCCAGTGGGCAGAACAGGATCCCCTTCTCCTTTCTTGAAGCTTTACCTTCCTGGATGCCAAATATGCTGTGAAACCAGAGAACTGTGGTTGAAGTAAATTGCAAATTCAACATCTTAGGGTCAGCTGGTTTGTGGTAATTTAAGTGAGTTCAGACATTAAAATCCCTGGGAGGACAGCAGGGTGTAGGACACTGGAGAGGGATCTAGATAGATTCTGCTATGAGTTAGAACCCCTTTAGCGTTACTTGAAGGTTTCCAGTCAGGATTGCAATTCTTTCTTGTAACATTACACTTTTTCTTTGATTGTGGTCTTCCTCACAGCAATGAGCATACTTATGACCCTGCTTATATTTAGGTTGTTAGCTCACATTCATTCATTCTAGCAAATATTTCTTCATTTGTATGCTGGAAAGCCCCAGAGCTGTGGTAGAGCTTTTCAGATGGAACGAAGATGAAAGGAGGGACGAAGAGAAAACAGAGGAGGAAGGGACAATAGCAAGCAGAGAGAGGACACTATCTGAGCTCCTAGCATATATTCTCATGGCCATTCAAAACTATCCTATGATTTCCAGGCTTATCCCTTCCTACAAGAGCACATATACATAGGTATAATACTTCACACACACACATACACACACACATACACACACACACACACACACACACACACACACACATCAAGCATCAAGCCATGCTCCCAGTTACCCCCAGACCTTTAGATCAATTTTCCCTCTTCTTGGAGCATATTCTCCTTACTGTGCCTGGTAACTTCCAGACACTCTCTCAGGTATTAAGTGTCATCTCTTCTGAGATTACTTCTTTAATTATTTCTATTTCTATTTTATGTGTATGAGTATATTGCCTGCATGAGTGTAAGTGGTCCCATGTCATGCAGTGCCTGTGGAAGTCAGAAAAGGTTATCAGATCCCCTAGAAATGGAGTTAAGGATGGTTGTTAACCATCACGTGGTGCTGGGAATCATCCAGGCTCCTCTGCAAGTACAGTCAGTGCTCTTAACCGCTGAGCCCTGAGACTGCTTCTTTATGAACTTTGTCTATTCATTACCTTTCTCTTAAAGAAAGCACTCTTCTTTGAATGCCATATAAAAATAAGCAGGCAAGCATAATGCAGATGACAGAAAAGTATACAATAGTGGACTACTTCCTTTACCTTTCAGTTGGATTAACAAATGCAAGTAATTGTCTTTTCAACATTAAAAATGAAAATTCATATTTATGCCTTAGAAAAGGGAAATAGGAGGGAAATCCTTCCCTGTGTGTCAGCTTGTGTTCACCAAGAAACTGACACCATGATAGGATTAATAGAATAAGGGGATGTACTGGGAGAATATGTAGAAAGGATACAGGGAACTGTCAGGATGCACCTACGTGCCCAGTCAGTGTCATTCAGTTTTGCATTAAATATCTTTTGAGTGACTTGTATGTGTTGAGCATTGTGTCCGATACATATGTGTCTGGTCTGATGTGAAAGGAGAGGGGGAAAGCTGGATTGTGTAGGAAGAGTCTCAGATTTCAGGTCAGTTTTAAGAAGCTTAACCAAGTCATGAAAAAGTCTTGGAGCTACAGTAATTAGTGATGTTGTCCCTCCCATGACAGAGTGAACCTGAGCTAGAATCCCAGCCATGCTCATTCATTGGCTGGGACACACAGGATGGGAAGGAGCAGGGAGTGCGATCCAGAGAAGCAGCAGCTAGAACCCTCGCTCCGTTCTGCTCCCCACAAAGCATACTCCTCCTCCATCATCCAACTAACAAACCTTGCTCAAAACTATTGGGCAATGTTTTCTGAAGGTGCCCCTGTGCCCCTGACACAGCAACTCTTCCTGTCAGTGTAGAACCTTGCATAATAATAAAGCACTTCTCAGCTATTGACATACCTTTTTCTCCTATTAGATGCTGTGTCTTATGATCTGGGACCACACATTCTTTACCCATTTAATCCTATCCCTTAGCAAAAAAACTAAACAAAAATTAGGTGCCAATTAATATTCAAGTGGATATTAATTGAGTGAAAATTCAAATAGATGGAGCTAGACTAGCGTGTCAAATGTTGGTTTTCAAATTGACAATTTAAATATTTTTGTGAGTGATAAACTTCTAGATAATGAAAAATACAAAACTGTTTCTATAAATATACAGTTTCATATATATAAGTGCTCATACTGACACTTTGAGTAGAAAAATTAGAGCATATCTTCATTTTAAAAATTAATATAAAAGACATCTCACAATACAACCAGTCTTGGTCAAAGAAAATGCCATTTACCTAATGTTTGCTTGAATTATTAAATCGTAAAATAATCCTCAATTTAAAAAAAAACGCTGTGTCTTTTGCTTTGCAATACAGAGTGAAGTACAAAACTTATGGAAAGAAAATCTGAGTGTTCTGGATGCTGCCAAAGCATACGGCTATGAAGCAGTGGACACGTTCACTATCACAATGGGACGAGGCAAGGAATTTCTACAGGGCAACTGTGGGTGTCATTTCCATGAGGTATTTATGCTTGCTCTCTCATTTTGTTTGTGTTCTTGAGAGAGGGTCTCCCCATAGCCACAGCTGGCATGGACCTCTTTACATACACCAAGTTGACTTCCATCTCACAGACATCTTCCTGTCTCTGCCTTCCAAGTACTGGGATTAAAGGTGATTTTTGTAACTTTGGGTTGTGGTTTTTTTAAAATCTCGTATCTTTCTTTAATCATATAGTCAGTCTTATTTTACACAAAAGAAATCATGTCAAAAGGAAGTTAAATGATCATCATCTTTATCAAGTGAGATGTTAAGTTAGTGTTTAGACACTGGGAACCTAGGATCAGGGATCAATGAATGCAGGAAGAAGGCATCTGAGGAGGGTCGCCTTCTCCAACACACTTTACAAATTTCCATCCCACTGGAATTTTATCCCCATGTGATGGCCAAACTTTTCACCTTGCAAGTCCAGTCTAACATGCTAAATTAATTAATAGTTGCTCTAGTGCATAAACTGAGGCACCCATGTTTTGAGTAAGTCATCAAGAGTAATAATGATTGTGTTTACAATCAGTGATTAAGTAGACTTAGCTGATAAAAGGAAGACAATGAGCAAATTTCTTGTTTTCATTTTGTCCTGTCAAAGTACTCTGTGTATTATTTTCTCCCTGCCACTCAAATGAAATCTTTGGTAGGTCCCCTCATTTAAAAATGTTACTAATCATCTCATGCATAAGAAGAGTATCGCTTTACCCAAGTTGTCTAGTCCAGTCTCGTAACCACATAGCATCCCCATGTCAAGCCATACAGGAGTTCCTTTGTGATTTCCCCTTTTGCTTTCCTAGTCCTCTTTTGCATCTTTCAGCACCAAGGTAAAAGCAGAGAGGGGATGCTAAGGGTAGGTCTTGAGTGACCTAGGCATCACACAGCAATGTGTTTTCTGGATATAGTGTGCTACTTCTTTCCTTTTAAAAGTGCTTCTGTAAAGTCAAAAAGTCACCCCCATACACTGGGACCTTTAGGCTGCAGCTTTCTTTATAAGGAAACGCACTCTTGCAGCTGGGATCCTTCTTGGCCTTATGGTAACAAACTGTCCATCACTGAGTTGGAGGTCAGTTGCCCTTCCAAACATGTTTTTGGAAAATACTCAAATGGGCACTGGGCTTGCCACACTTCATTCCTCACACTTGGTCTACAGAAGCACTTACGTGTCCTTGCTTTGCTGCTGCTGGAAATACAGTTAATCACCAATGAAGCTTTCTCTCCTGTTCTCTCACTCTCTCAGCCACTCAGTGTCTCCTCAGACCAGTTCTAGGTGTCCCCCAAACACAATACAAGTCTCAAGCTCTCCACTTTGGTCTTTGAATGTCTCCTCACATGGTTTGAAGCATGGATAAGCACTTCTCCCAAGTCTAAGAAAACCAGAGTATTTAGAACAATCATGTAGAAGTATTCTTTCTTCCTTCTGTTTTACCTCAAAGCTCTTTAGACAATGCTCTATAGACAAGGCTTCATAAAACTGGATATTGCCTCCATTTTTGCAAGTCTTGCAATAGGTTATCCAGGCATTGCTGGGGGTGTGTCTTCCTAGAGTGATTTGAATGAACACCTGCTTATTGTAGACAGGGCATCGATGACAAACTAAAAAAATGATTCTACCCAAGTCTAAATTGGTGAGTGGATGTGTTTATTAGAATTGCTTACAGGAGCATTAGTGAAAGGTTACTTACCATAGCATGAGTGACTCACTGGCATTTACATCACTGAAAAGTCTACTCCAGAATGGCTGACAACTCACAGAAGCGGCATTCCTGGAGCTCCCTACCCCACTTGCAGGCAGCTCCACCATAGAGTCTTCTCTCCCCAGCAATTGTTCACTGATTCTATGACTCAGGGAGGAGCCTTGTGAATCCTGTAACTTTTCTGAGCTTCTTGAGTGAAGTTTCCTTTACTACCTGAGGTTTCATGAGCCTTCCTTCTTTGTCTAAAAGGGAACCCTTCCATTCACAGGAAACAGCTACATAGCACTTAGAATATGAGGTCTTTTGGCAACTACTGTGTGAGAGTCTCAGGAGATTCAGTGACACTCAGATGAAGTGCACCTCACTTTACCTTCCTATACAATCTTGACTCACTCTACTTCTCTCTTCTCTTTACAAACTGGAATTCACTGCTTAATTGGTTGACTAGTGAAATGGTAGCTAAGATTTACTTGTGATCCTGGTTTTAGCCTTTTTCTGATTTACATTCCATCTTGATCCCAATATTCTTACAAATACCCCTATTGCTATTAGAACAGCACTGATTCTCTCTGCATTACTCATGGATTTACATTATCCTTGTATGTGACCAGTGGCACTGCATCTCAGAGAACTGAGAGCCAGCAGCCACAGCTGGTGAGTGGATGAGAACGTGACATTTAAGTTTTGAACTAGCAATGTAAACCTTGGTCATGTTTCTACAGAATGTATTTTAAGTTGTAGGACACTATGTGTCTATTAGTTGCTTCCACATGAAAATATATCACCCATAGAATGCTTGTCCTGTTTACAAAAACTAGAAATAAAAGCATAAGTAGTTTGGAAAACAAAAAACAATGAACTTGCATTTGAACCATCCCAGAATCATGGTGGGTCACAAAAGCAAGCCAGTGGTCACCAAATCCACAGAAAATGGGGACTTTGAAAAACAGCTTACAATTTTTTACCTCTTTTAGAAAATGTTTATTTATGTTTACATAATATGTCTTCAGTTAGTACACTGAAGGAAGGGTGTGCGCTTTTCTTTTCCAGCATCAGTGCTCTGAAAGGCTAAAAAGGAAATGTCCTCCAATGATTTCCAGTATGGTTCTAATTAAAAACAGAAGATGTCCTTCCCACATGATTGTATTACATCTATCTCCTGTCCCAGTGTCAGCTGGTTTACACTAATAATCCTGGAATTTGAAAACCACAAAAAAGGTTCTTTGAACCTCCAGCAGTAGAATATTGGTTTGTAATTATTACTAGTAAAAGCTATCCTTAATTTGCAAAAGATCATTCTAAAAATGGAAGGTAAAATATGTCACTTAGGAAGTTTGTGGGGTTTTTTTTCTTTAGTGATCATAAACAAATTGCTTCTTGTTGACTTTGTTTCTAGTGTGTACTATTTTGATGGTAAGCCATATGTGTCTCCTGCAGATAACCTCAGCTGATTCCTGAGTACTGCAATTCACGATAAAGTTCTCATGACTGAGCTGAAATACACTTGTAAGAGCACTTGCCTTTGCACTTAAAATATGGAGTTGATGAGAACATCTTTTAATAATTCACCCCTCTTGATAAACGCATTCATTCTAAACACATTGCATGGGCATGATCATTCATTACGGACAGTTTGAAGCACTTGCACCTTGGGATATCTCTCAATGACACTGACGTTTTATAATGTTTCTACAGCAGCTTAAATCACTGTTAGCTTATTGTAGTGAAAAAACTAAAACTTCTTACAATGGATGCTTTGATGGCGAATGTTAAAAGCCAAGAAAAACAGTTGAATACTGATCTCATGCAAAACACACTTAAGTGTAAAAATTCTGTTGATCATTATTTTTCCTTTCTTCTCATGTTATGACAGTTCTGACCCCTCCCCCCAAAAAAGTTTACTATAAAATAATAGCAAAAATAAGAACAGTAGTATTAGGATCTTGGGAATTTTGGTGCAGGAACTGCTGGTATTCAATTAAACTGTTCCCACAGTACAGTCAATACTTGAGAAGAATTGGTATAATCATTACAGGAAGACCTTGACATTTCTTTGTTCTGTAGTCAGAATTCTGCTGCAGACATAACAAACCTGTTTCCACGAGCTCTGGTTTTCATAGGTGAGATGAAAGGTTTTGGAGTATCTCTTTTATCTGCCAAGGCACCAAAAGATAACAGGTTGTCACGATGGCTCTATAAACTATTTTCCAAATAGTCTGCATCACTTTTGACTAAAAGACTCAGCTGATTAAAAAAGCAGGTGTTTCTTTTTCTGGGTGAGATTGGAATTTTGTTTTCCTAGTGTTTATGCAGGACAACAAATGGGATCCAGGTAGCTCTTGCCCAATAGAGGTTTTGGATGGTACCTTTGTTATGTGGCAGATATCTGCTCTGAACATGCAAAAATCTGGAAACCATTTAGCAACATTATCAAGCCAAATGTAGCTGCAAAAAGGAAAATCCACAAACAATTACTGTGTGGTTATCAATTAGTCTAGTCAGTTGCACAAACTTTAGGTAATATCTCTAATTTCTGGCAAATGTGACTGTAGCTTTTTGACTCAGGCAACAAAAATCATCTGGCATTAAGATCTAACAGGTTACCTTGGATTAGGGTACCATGAAGAGAAACAGGAGTTTCAGTTCACTGTCAGAGGTGATTTTTATATTATTCTTAATTTTATACATGTTATCATTTAGTCTTTTGGGGAAGGGGCTGAGTCTCATTATGTAGCTCCAGCTGGCTTGGAACCCACTCACTAGTTAGACCATTCAAAGCTGCCCTTAAACTCACAGAGATCAACCTGCTTCTGCCTCTGAAATTTTGGAATTAAAGGTGAACACTACCACATCCAGCTATCATTTAATCTTAATTAAATAATCATCATAGAGCCTAGAAATGTTTTCCTCTTTACCTGTCACACTTTGAAAGTGTACTCTCTGAACTTAAGGAAGACTGAAGACCAAAAAAACATCTTTGGACTGGAAATAGGACATTTGGCTCTTGCCCTGGGTTCAGTTACCCTGGGTTCAATTACCACCATCATAAACAAACAACTTTATTTGAAAAAAGAAAAAAAAAACCTCTTAGCCTGGCATGGTGGTATACACCTTTAATCCCAGCATTCAGGAAGCAGAAGCAGGTGGATCTCTGTGAGTTTAAGGTCAGCCTGGTCCACATAGCATGTTCCAGGCCAGCTAGAATTATATAGTGAGATTCTGTCTCAAAAACAAACAAAACAAGAACAAAAACTCTTTAAATTCATCTTTCTTTTTAAACAA